AATTTGCTTCTTCTATAAACACATAATAATATTTATTTATACTTAAAACAATATAAAAAAATTATACAAATGGTGTTATGACATTAAGAAAAGACGACTTTAAGATTTACTAGAGAAAAACTAAAATACAAACAGGAATCTATGTTACAATCACAACAAGCATAATATCAAATAAATCTCTTTTCAAAAGGTAATCAAACTGAATTTATTCAGATAAAAGAGTCAAAGGTTTTGAGTTGAATATATATTTTTAGAGATGTCACCTTTCCAGTAATAAGACTTCAATAGATCCACCATTTTACCAACACTCTTTGTTTTATGATCAACTACCACCACCCGAACTTCATCAATAATACCGTCACATTTCCATTATCCCTTTAAAAATTTCAAAAAAAGAGATAAAGTTAGTAATATTCTATATAGAAGCTTGAATTTATTGGAGTCACAATTAACAATTTTGGGGGTATTATATAGTAATTACAATGGTAAGTGAGTATTTATAAATAATTGTTTAGTCCTTATATAGATATTTGGTCCACTTTTAGTTCTCATATTATTCATTTTTTCGTAATTTATGTTTAATTAATATAATCATTAGGTCTTGGTCTTCATACTAATGAAAGTTGAATATTTTACAAAAGATATATTTTTACACCTTGTTTTCTTGTTCTAAAAAACTCTATGTTCTAAACACAATAAAGACCTATATCATATATGCTAAACCCTAAACAATAGAAGGCTCTAAACCCATAATTCTAAAAATCCATAAACTCTAAACCGAAAAACACAATATACCTGAAGTCCTAAACCTTAAAATCATAAAAACCTAAGAAACACTAATCCTTACAAATCCTAAAAAAAAGCTTGAAGCTAAAAAAATCTAAGATCTAAACCTTATAAAACCCTAAATCGTATATGCTAAACCCTACAAAGATTACTACTTATTTTTAGTTCAAAAGCACGATTCATGTGAATATGGGTGAATTCCTATAAAATTGAATATTTAACTTACTCTTGGGCTTCTCTCAAGCCCCTTAGAATTCTCATAACTTCCTCACAACTCTTACTTAGAACGAGTCATCCATAAGGATCTTTGAATATAACTTTTCAACCACCTCTAGTATGATGGGTAGTCGAATGAATAAGAGAACACACGAGTGAAAATAGATCTCTATGACTTAGATCTTTCGCACGATTAAGAGTATGAATGAATGGAAACTTTTCTTAAAAGTCTGTATACCCTCATTTATATAAGTCGGGACCTCACAATAATACGCAAGATCTTACATGACACGACTTCATATACTCCCTAGGATACTTAAACCTTTTACTCTGATACAAAGTTCTTTATGACTTGAGCCTACACCCTGGATGTGTCAAGCACATGAAGATTATTGGTTGTCCCCAAGCGAACCCTCATCCTGGCTGACTACAAGCCGAAGACTCACATAAGCATACAAAGCTAGAAAAGTTAAACAAGATTCGGTAAACTCAAAGGAACAACTTGAAAAAAAATTATATATTAAACTAGCCATAAAATAGGTAACATTAAGTCTTTAGAACATTTAATAAAATAATGCAAAATAAAGATTCCTTAACTTAACTGATTATCTATGACGCCTCTAAATGACAAAGGTGGAAGTTAGGATAACACCCACGACCTCTTCACTAAACTAAAAAGTAAATGAAATCCTCCAGAAGTAAGGAGTCTCACCATAGCTAACTTAAACTTTGGGATATATCAACGAAGCTCTTGTTGATGATTCTGAATACCTTAGTCTATATTATGAGAAGATGCAAGATAATTGGCTCAGTACAAGGAATGTACGAGCATGTAAGGGGAATTCTAAAGTATAGCATAATCTTGATACTTGGATAAAAGATTTGAACATTCTTACCTCTTCTCAAACTTGAAACCCAATGAATACTCCTTAAGAAGATATTCAACTCTTACAACAAATACTGAACTCAATGATATGATACACGACTAAGGATACTCAAGTAAAAATACTCAACTCATGTTAATTCGCTGAACTCGTTTAAATATAAAACAGTTTTAAACCAGTGCAATATAAAGAAAAGTTGTTTCAAAACATGATCTTAACAAAAAGATATTATCATCATAAATGCATATCATTCTCCCTCTCAAAGTCTACTTGTGCAATGCATGAATGAAGTCTCATATCCACATTCATACTAAGCAGAAACCCTTGAGGAACAATGTTACTAATACTGTGGGAGTTTCTATAACTAACAAGCATCACTAGGAGCATAAGTAATGGTACAACGTATTACCTCACCTTGCAAGAGGACCATCATGCACCTTTCTATCGTTATACAACATTACTCAACTTAGTGGATCCACTACCTCACCTTACATGATCATCTAAAAAGTATGACCCACCTATTCCCATGGCGGCTACATAGTTTACATGGAGAGTTTAGTTAATATGAACTCTCATCCCCACATCGATGCTCAATACACAATCCAAAACGTACTTTAGCTCATTACTTAATTGAAACTTTCTTTTCTTTGTCATTAGATAATTTGCTGAACCCTTTATCTTTAAGAAGCTTTTCTTGGAATCAATGTTTCCCTCTTTATTTTAAAACTCTTCCAGAACTTCTTAGTTCCCTTTAAACATAAATTTGAAAACATTTATAACCTTTTATGGAATACTTAGTACCCTTATAGATTTTAAGAAAGAAACTCAACTCTTTTTCTTTACTTAACTTGAAACTTAAACACTTAGGGAAATCTTAGTTCCCTTATAACTTTTGTGAATTTAATTAAACTCTTTAATCTTTCTTGACTTGAACTTTATGTCATTAAAACAAAGTGAAAAGTTTTGTGAAAGACTTTAGGAAACTTTATAAACATTACGTAGACTTTCTCTTTACTTAAATTCTTGACTCTTAAGCCTCCTTGAATTGAAGTATGGATTGAAGGTTACGGATCTCATGTGGATTATTTCATGATTTTAAATTTGCAGAGTTTATTAGGAATTATGAGCATGAATTACTCAACTCAAGAACGAAGAGGTACTTCTTAACTCAAATAGGGATAAAGAAATCAATATTTAAGACTTAGAAGTTGGAGATATTCCTCCTCATAATGATACTCGAATTATGGAATTCATGCGGAAGTTATAGGCATGAACAACTCGTCTCAAAGTTCTAAGTAACTAGATGAAAATCATGTATATTAATCTCTCATCCTATCCTTCAATTCCTCAAAACCTACTTCAAATCAATGATGGAACTCAAACAATTCACAATTTAACTTAGAGACTTTTTTTATAACTATACTCTTAGCTCTCTCTCTTGAATGTGGATTACGAATTCAAGAGTTTTGGATCATGACATGGAGGATTAAGATAATATGGTAGACATATAAATACATTCTCCTCCATTCATTCTCATTTACATAAGTCTTGAAATAACATACTAGAAATTGCAGAAGACACCTAAAACCGACACGAAGGGACTCTCTCAAAAGGAGTGAAGATACACTTTAAATGAGCTCAAACGGGACTACCGACACAAAAGGAGTGGGGCAGGCAACCTGGCGTGTTCCGGGAGAAAGGATCCAGCCCCTAAAATCAGAGCGTACATTTGGGTGCACTGGAGGAGTGTCACCCATGTTTTCTGGGCGTATCTTGGAAGCGCCATGCCAGGCCCTCTTCAGACAACGTTTCGATAAATTTTGCCTCCCGCTTTCTGACTCTAAATCACTTTTGATCGATTTCTTTTCTCAAGTATTCCTTAGATTAAATTACTTATCCTAAGTACAAACTAATATACTTAAAAAACACTCAAAACAATCACTTTCATCTCATGAAATCATCACAATACACACAAGACAAGATCTACAATGAACCTCAAGAATACCTAAAAAGAAATTGAATCCTTCAACTTTTTTATAATGAAATTACACTAAAAGTAAAATGTTTGGCGTGTGGGTGAACAAACCCAACATTATGGAAGCTTACATACCTCTAAGGGATGAGAAGCATGGAGAAATTCCACAACAAGACGCAAGAATCTGGATGAACTCTCCTCTTTTCTCTTCTTGGGGGGGGGGGGGAGATCCTATAGTATAGTATCCCAATTTTTCTTTTTCTAGGCCGATAACTAAAAAACCCGCTTTCTTATGATTACGAAGTTTATTCGAATATGAAATCCAATCTATGAAATACAACATCTCTTCTTGCCTCTTCTTGAAGTTTCAACTAAAACTCAAAGAGTATTTTTGAATTATGAAACTGAACCTAATAGGATACTGACCCTAAAATATAACTAAAAATGAGTTATACCTAATTGGGTAAGGAAAGGTCAAAAATATCCCCCACTATTTTTGGCTTACTTTTCTTAACTGGACAGTCTAGCTATAAGGGTCATATCTCACGCATCCAAACTCGAAATTTAGCACACTTGGTGGCGTTGGAAAGATAATGCAAAAAGATCCTTCCAGTTGTATATAATAGCACACCTAACTCATCTTGTACTGGTAGTTTAGGTCATTTAAGTTGACCCAAAACTTATACCTACCATCACTTGAAAATTGTCATATTTTACTATTTGTAACATTCTTGTCGTAACTCAAGGTTTTAAATCTAGTGATTTGACCTTAATAACTATGAAAATTTTAATTACTTGGTAATCACTACTATAAACTAGTCGAGTCTTAGTTCGAAAACTTTCTCGGGTGTAACAACTTTCGAGGACTATAAAAAAAGTGTTAGGCGACGGATATTAGCAACATAATCAAATCTGTCGTTATATAACTATGGATTTGAAACGAAGTATTCATTGCATTGAAAAATTTACAAATAATTTTCTATATTAAAATATAGCAATGGAATATGTTTTTTTTCTCATACAATAGCGGGAAACTTTGGCGCCTTAAATTTCGCTATAAATTTTACAACAAAGTATGTTTTACAAATTTAATAATATATTGCAACGAAAGTAGTGATGGACAAGCGGTCCTCCTCTGTAAAATATATTTTTATGGAATATAAATTACGTGTTGACGGAAATTTTTGTCTCTAAAAATTAATTCAAATAATTATATTTATAGGGACGGATATGAGAATATGTCGCTAAGTTCGTTGCGATAATTTTACATAGTCATCACACATTGAAAGCACAAAAAGAAAATAAAAATTACAATCCCTAAAAAATAGGGTTTTATCTCAATGAAACGTCCCAAGAGCAACGCAGCAGATGAGTGAGAGCTAAGAATTCGATTTCTCCTGTCTCCTTCTCCTTTTGATTGCTCCGGTCTCCTTCTCCTTTTGATTGCTCCCGTCTCAGGTTCACGGTAAAATTGCTCCTGTATCCTTCATCCTCAGGAGAAAGGTGAGTTTCTACCTTTGATAAAAAAATTTTATATGCTCGGTGAGCTTCTAGTGCGGTGGAGAGGAGGGTTTTGACTTCTATTTGGTGAAAAATAATAGGGGAAGCGGGATGGGTTATCAGGGAAGAACATAAGTCTTTTTGAAATTTTCTTGGATATGTCATGTTAAGCATTTTGGTAAACCATATTGTCTACTAAAATCAATCTAACACAACAAAAAATCGCCGGTAAATCACTTCTAATTGAAGCTCTTCTATTGCTTCACCACCTAAAAATTGTAAGCAATATTTCAAAACTAAAATGATACTTGCTATTGATGTATACATTGTAAGATTCTTATGTTTATTTATTGTATGTTCTCTTTAAGAATTGCAGGTAGACTAGCAAATCATATAAATATAAAATGCTAAAAGTTGATAGAAAAAGAGAATCAAAAAATTATAAATATGTATTGACATGATTTAGCAATTAGATTTTAATGATGAGTACATGTATCAATGATGTTTTAAGATAATAGTGTGTGCTCTATTAACTTTAGCATTCACACTGAGATATGAGATAATATGAATAAGGCGTTCGATGACATAACTTTGTTTCTACGATCCTTAGCAAAAGAAGAGATTTTTTATTGTTCTTAGTCAAATATTTTGTATGAAATTTTTAGTAGAAGTTTCAACACTAGTTATTTAGTACATTTTTTTCTAATGGTTATATGTGTTAGCTATAAAATTTTGTCACGATCTCGATGAAATGTATGTATTCTCCTTGTGTCTTTTATTTTAGTGTTTAAAGGAATGAGTTAACTATTGTTTTTAATATTTTACTTTCTTTCTTTAGTGTTTTTTGCTTGTACTTTGCTCTAATTTCTGATTTTGAATATTTTTCAGATTTATTTTTATACTCTAACCTTGCTTGCTTCTACTTTTCTTGATGTAATTCTCGACATCTCAAAATAACAAGACAAGAAGTCTCAAAGACTTTCACTATCTAGTCTCTGCTTGGAGAAAGGTAACATTTCCTCATTAATCTTCTCCTTTCCTTCTTCTATTGATGATATGCCTCGCTAGTCTGTTGTTGTATCGCTGTTGTTTGTAGATGAGAATTTATCACTTTAATTTTCTATACTTGGGTTCTTAGTAAATTTTCTTGATTCATAGTAATGTGAAAGTTGGCGTTTATCGTTTAGTTTTTGCTATTTATGCTTATTTGTTCTTTTTTGTTTGAAATATTCTTGGTGACTACTCTTCTCTATGTTGTAGAATCTCGGTTCTTCTTTTTTTGTCTGTAAGTCTATGTTTTACATTAAGTTTTGCTACTACAAATAATGCTTTGTTTAAAACTATAATGCTTCAATACCTTTTGTTTGTCATTAATTTTTGGGTACTAAGTCTGCCTAGTGAATAGAAATTGTTTTTTTTTGCCTAAATGCATGTTTTGTTCTAATTTGATGAATATGTATAAGAGTACCTTCTGGTTCACATTTTCTCATGTTAATGATTTTTTTTTATTTTTTAAATTTAAACTTTATTAGGAACATGAACAATATAGAGCATGGTTGGATGTATGATAGGTTTGATGGTTGATGTTCTATAAATACTAGTTTTGTAATTGGAATGGATAAATTTATCCATTTTGCATGTTTTCAATAGAATTGCATGAACGGCAATAAAGTTAGATGTCCATGTAAAAAATGTCAAAACTTTAGGTTCACGGATGTTAAAATGATTAAGCATCAGCTTTATACATCTGAATTTGTTGATAACAATTTTATCTGGTAACGGCAAGGATAAATAAATATGATTGGTGAATTTTGTGATGAAGATTTGAATTGTGGGTCTACACCTAAATTAGGATATGACAATCCATACTGTCAAATGATTTTAGATGCAGATGGTCCTAAATTTCCCATGTTTCAAGTTTGAAATATTTTGGAAATACTAAACATGAGTCATCTTATCCTTGTGAATCTTCAATGGAGAAAGATTATCCCGAGTCTCAAAAATTATATGATGTGCCACAAGGAGGTCATGAAAAATTATATCCCAATTCTTCCCTCTCTCATTTTGTTGTTGTCTCTCGAATGTTAAATATTATAATGGAGAACAATGTCAAAGAGAGGTAATAACCAACTGATGCAATTGTTGAAAGAGGCTTTACCTGAAGATAACATAATGCTTGATGGCTACTATCAGACCAAGAAGCTAGTGCGTACCTTGGGTTTGCTTATTGATATGATTGATTGCTTTGAATCAAGATGTATGTTGTATTGGGGTGATAATGAACACCTTACAACTTGTATATTTTGTGTAAATGATAGATACAAGTGTCGTGTTGGCTCTCGTAAGAGGAAATTGATCCGTTACAAGAAAATGTATTATTTTCCTTTGATTCCTAGATTGAAAAGATTGTATGCATATCATGCTACAGATGCCGACATGAGATGGCATCATGAGAATACAAAAGAGGATGGTGTAATGCGCCATCCATCAGACTCTGTGGCTTGGAAGCACTTCAATGACACTCATCCTTTTTTTGCTCATGAACCAAGAAATGTAAGGTTGGGATTATGCACTGATTGATTCCAACCGTGTAGTGAGTCTGGGAGTAGATACTCTTCGTGGCCAGTTATTATCTTACCTTATAATTTACCTCCATGAATGTGTATCAAAGAGGCTTATATTTTCCAATTATTCATTGTTCTGGAGCCAAATATCCCAAAACATAAAATTGAAATTTTTTTGTAGCCTCTAATAATTAAATTGACTTTGTTGTGCGAGGCAGGCATGCAAGCATTTGACATCTCAAAAAATAAAAACTTTCAACTAGTGGCAGCTTCGATGTGGACAATCAGTGACTTTCATGCATATTCTATGTTATCAGGATGGAATACAGTAGGTAAGTTTGCATTTCCCTATTGTATGGGTGAAACAAAATCTTTGAGATTGACCCATGGTAGGAAAACATCTTGGTTCGACTTTCATCGGATATTTCTTGGACAACATCACCCATTTAGAAAAGATCGTAAGAACTTTCTTAAAGACAAGACTGTCCAAAGATCACCTCCACCCTACATAACAAGAGACGAAATATTGAATCAAATATGTGATTTTGACATAAGAAAATAACGAAATTAGATACAGAACAAGTCAATGGAAGCGTATGTAAGTCTTGCGAATGAAAAAAGAGAAGCTTCTTTTGGGATTTGCCTTTTTGAAGTTCTAACATCATTCGACATAATCTTGATGTCATGCATATTGAAAAAAATGTCTTTTCTAATGTGTTTAACACCATTTTTAGTTTTGATGACAAAAATAAAGACAATCCACAATCACGTCATGATAAAGTAATTTTTTATAATCGACCTCAATTGGCAAAGGATAGTAATGGAAAATATCCGAAAGCTATATATACGATATACAAGGAAGCAAGAGTAATCTTGTTCAGTTTGATGAAAGGCTTAATGTTTCTAGATGGGTATGTTTCCAATTTGGGTAAATGTCCAGACAAAAATGCTAAAAGGATATGTGGAATGAAAATTAATGTTTGTCACGTGTTTATGCAGCGACTATTGCCTATTGACTTTCGCGAACTACTTCCTAGTAATGTGTGGAGAGATTAGAGAGAGACATCCAAGAAATCATGTGCAACTTAGAATTTGTATTTGTCCCGAATTCTTTGACTCAATGGAACATCTTCATGTACACATTCCATATGAAGCAACGATAGCTGGAGCTGTACAATATCGATGAATGTGCCCTTTTGAAAGATAAATGTAAAGCTTTATATAATATTAGTGACTAGTATGCCATATATTGTTATCTTCTAATTTAATGGACCATACATGTTATATATTAGGGTATCTCAGAATTCTTAAAAAGATGATTGGAAATAAATCTAGTGTTGAGGGTTCCATTTGTGAAGCATACTTGAAGACAGAGTAAACATAACTGTTTTCTCATTATTTTGAAACTCATATCGTGATGCGTAGTTATAGGGTTGACCATAATGATGATGGTGGGGATAGGGAAGGTATTGAAGGAAATTTATCAATATTATCCCATCCAGGTCGACTATGGGGAGAAGAAAAAAAATGGGATTTATACCTCAATGAAATAATGGCTGCCCAAATTTATATCTTACTAAATTGTGAGGAGATTGAGCCATTTGTGAGGTAAAAAAAGTTAATTTTATTTTCGTTATAATATAAAAATATCCTTGAATCACGACTTTTCAATGGAATTTTTTTTTGTAATGAAGTATGTTCAATAAACATTTACATGAAGAATTTTCAAATCTATATCAGGATCAAATAGACGAGAGTATTGAAGAAAATTTCTCTCTATGGCTTTAGGAATTTGTTAGTATTGTGAAATTATTTTTTATACAGTATGATGCATAAATATAATTTTAAAATTTACTAAGTCTTACATTTTTTAATAAATAGGTCCAATACAATATAATTGAGAATGAATTCTTGCGTAGTCTTTCTCGTGGACTATTAATACGCGCTAAATGTTATTTTTTTAATTTTGTGAATGGATACCAATTTTACACAGAATGTCATGGTAGCACATGATCAACAATGAATAGTGGAGTTTGTATCTCGATTCAAAGTTTGGTGATTACTGTGGATGAATAAAAGAGATATTACAAGTGCAATACGTTGAATCACCATTAAAGCAAACTGTATTATTCAAATGTGAATGGTTTGACAAAACTAGGGATTTTTGTGTTATAAGGCACAATCAATAAAAATTGGGTTATATTACCATCGTCGTCGATATAAAAAATATGAAAATTTTAGTATTGCAATGCAAGTAACAAAAGTGAGTTATGTACCTTATCCTAGCAAGAAAATGGACAATAATGATTGGGTAGCTGTGCTGAAGGTCAATCCTCAAAATTTTAATGAAATGCCTAATGAGGAAATGGGAATAGTTTCAAAAGTAAATGTTCCATTTCATGTTTAATAAGTTGAAGTCCATGAGATAGATATGATAGTTTCCTTTGATGATATTCTAGTCTTAAATGATCCAAATGTAGATTTAATTTAAATGGATGAACCCATTAATAATGGACTTTTGCAAGAGAATCATAAAATCCACATATTATCCAAAGAAGAAGAGTTTGAAACTGTCGAGGATGAGGATGAGGATGAGGAAGAGGAAGAGGAAGCGTAACAGTTTGCTATTGTATTTTCACAATATTTTGTTTGTTTCTGACTTTCAATCGAGCATAATCTGTTGTAGTTTTTGCTTTTAAGTTCAGGATTTAAAAAGAAATAGCTCTTGGTCTTTAAACTTCATGCGCCTAAATTTTTATTTAAATTCCTAATTTTTTCTTTAGGAGACTTATTGTAATATAATTTTTTGTCTATTTCTTTGATTTGAATGACATTACTTGACAATGATTGCGTCAAGTATATTAGTTGACAGTGATAATTTCTTACAGAGATAGTTTTCATATTTCATCTTTGTTCCAAATTATCTAACAACAATGTTATATTTGACTATAGATTTGGCTAGAGACACAGTTCGTGGAAAATCCTCAGGTAGGAGTAATCTTGTTGTTCGTGTAAGCATGACAACTCTTCCAAAGCCCACTAGATTTTCTCCTTGAAAGGTGGTACCCCGACAGTTATTGTAACGTCAACTCAGAGTATTATCTTAATCATCTCAAAGACACCTCCAGTTACAGAAAATGATAGTAACCGAATTGGTTAGGGTCTTTCTACCCACAATAATGTTCAGGAGCCTTATCAAAAGCACATTCTTAATGTAAAGCTTCTGATATATGTTCATGATCTCTTCACGATTGTTACTTTTGTTTTAGATAGTTATTCTTGTTACTCTTTTATATCTTAGTACTAATATTTTTACTTCATCAACAATCTCTTAATTATATAGACAATTTTCATATTTAAGCATTATTGTTCCATGTAATCTAATTACCTAACTACAATGTTTTATTTTATTTATAGGGATGGTTGGAGGCAGAGGTCGTGGAAAATCCTCAGGTAAGAATAATTCTGCTATTCGTGTAAACATGCCTGCTATTCCTAGCCAACTATAATTTCTCTTCAACAAGGTGGTACCCTGAGCAATATTGAAAACTTAACTCAAAGTACTCGCAAAACAATCTCCGAGACACCTCCAGCTACATCAAATGACAGTAACCTAATAGGTCAAGGTCTTTCTACCCGTAGCAATGTTCCAACACGACATACAAATATAGTTGCTTAAGGTGAATCCAACAGTAGCCATCCAAGGACCCTTGTCTTTCTAACTTCTTCAGAGTTAGTCTACTCTTTTAATTTTATTCCTACTTTTTGTGTTGATGACACTTGCTGTCTTTGAACTCTGATTTATGATAGCCCAACAAATAATGTCATCTAATTTATAAAGACTGGAACCTTCTCAAATATGCTCTAGTTTCATACCCAAATCTTTCAAAAAAGAGGTTGATCTCAATTGAATAAATTGGAAAGGTGTTTCAAATTATGAAAGAAATGGTTATTATAGAGAATTCAATGTATAATTTTTTATCGTAAGTGATTTTAGCAAGTGTATTCACATATATATATAGGACATTCATGTACTACTTCCAAAGCTTTTTTCAAAAAAAGTTATGTTAGGATTTTTTGATTTGTGAAAACGAAGTAAAACACACTGGATGGTTAAGGAAACGTTAAATTATAGGAATTTTATTTCAAAGATTAGAAAAAGGAGGAGTTCGGCCAGGTTACGTACCAGAAGATGTGTGAGAAAGATAGATGGAGCTTCGGGGAAGTGCAGAGTCTATTAGGAAATCATAAATTAATTTGCAAAATCATCGTGGCGATCGTGAAGTTGCTATTGGGACTCACAGTAATGGCTCTATTTCTATTGGAGAACATCGCAAGAAACTTGTGAGTGCATATATATATATATATATTCTTCAATATTTATAACTAACATCTTCTCTTATATGATATATATAACGTTATTTCTTTTGTATAGGCTATTAAAAAAGGCCGAGATCCAACGCCATGTGAGTTACATCTTCATGCTCATACACTCTGACATGATGGAAAAACATTTATTGGTAAGTGTTCTAAAGATATCAATCTAGGTCTAAAACTGAGAGGTGTTTCGGTTCTTTCGTACTACATTTTATGGTGCATTTTATTATTTTAAAGTGTATTTGTTGCTACTATTTAGTATAGTTCTAATGATGTTTTGAGATTTTTCAATGCGATTGTAGTTTTGTTTTAGAGAGAAACTATTCCCACAATTTTGTGTCTTTTCTGGTTAAATTTTTACTATTTTTTTTGTGTGGTTCTATTGTTGCTTCTGTATTACTGTAGCTTCCAAAAGCCACTCACTGATGAACTTAGCGCATGTTGGGGTGCGGTGATGGGAAGGAGATTTCCTAGAATAGTTAATTGTCATTGTCTTTGTGGTAGAAGTCCCAATTAACATATAATTATTGACCATGTAGGTGTATCAAAGAGTCGGAATCCCATTGTTGCATAATGGTAATTGTAACGACCCGAGTTACCCTCGAGACGCGGACACGGAATCTAGGACCACAAGTTTCCCAAGCTAACCCTGTTTGAATGATCATGGGCATATTAAAAAATAATAAATTGACGCGGAGGATAAATCACAATTTAATTTGAAAAGATAGGGAATACCCATATTCTATAGCTAAGATATATGAAAAACCAAGGAGTTCAATACAAAGAAATATTAACTCAATATTAAGCTGAAAATAAATATATC